TTTGGTGTAACCATGCTAACTTAATTAGGAGCCCATTAGGCCTGAATTAAAGCTGATTTGGGTCGATTGGAAAGCTCATTCAGTTACCCATAGTTGAGTTAGGCGATGGCACTGCTAGACTAGGTGGTGAAACCACCTATGAGTTGGAACGTGCTAAGTGCACGTTTTTCAAAAAATCTGGTGGTGGTACTATTAGTGTCAAGCAATGGTACCATCCAGACTGGCAATAATATCGCCAGTACATGATCTCTCATTTTGTCAAGCGATAGTACCACCCAGACTAGGTGATGGTACTACCAGAAGTTAATGCTGCAAGTGATGGTACCACCCAACAATGGTGATAGTACTGCCAAGAACTTGAAATCCTGGGGATGAGACTTTTTGGCTTTATTTTTTAAGCCATTTGGGGCCTATAAATATTCTACTCATTCTTTCTTGAGTTAGCAAGAAAAATAAATGAAAAGGCTTATGATTCTAAGTTGTAAACTCTTGAAAAGTGTTGAGTGCTCCTCTCCTCTTCGTTGAAGTTTAGTGCTCAGTCTAATAGAGGTGTGAGACTTGTAAATGTTCTCTCCTAAACTTGTGAAAATGAGAAAAAGTTGTAAAGAGGATAGTTGATCTTTGCCCATTGAAAGAATATCATTAGTGAATGCTGATGTCCTCGATTGAAAAGGAACCGACAGTTGACGTAGGTCGCGACGACCGAACCATTGTAAATGTTGTGTGGATTTCCTTTCTTTTCTTCATTACTATTGCTTTCTGATTTAATTACTTATTACACTTACTCTAAGTAAAGCACACTTTCAATATCTATTTTTATTGAATGAAATCAAAATCATAATTTTATGAAAGTATTAATTCATCCCCTCTCTTAGTATCATTACGGTCCTAACAAGATGAACTTAGTATCATGGTTCGAAGCAAGCTTAGATTAGTAGCTAAAAGTCTCAACCAAGAAAAGGTATCAACTATGAAGAAACCTTCACTTTTGTGGCAAGACTTGAAGCCATAAGGATACTCCTTGCCTATACTTGTTGCAATAATTTTAAGTTATTTCAAATGAATATTAAAAGTCCTTTTCTTCAGGGTTTATTTATGAAAAAGTTTATATTGAGCAACCACTCAGATTTGAGAATATTCTTTTTCTGAACTATGTTTTTAAGTTATCTAAGACTCTCTATGGATTGAAGTAAGCCCCAAGAGCTTAGTACGAGAAACTTAGTTTATTTCTTATTAAGAATAATTTTTTGAAAGGTATAATAGCTAGTTTACTATACTTCACAATAACTAGACTTGTACTAGATTTCAATCTAATCTTAAATAATATCATTATAAAGTAGTTAAAAGGATTTTTAGATACTTAAAAGAAACTTTTAATCTAGGATTATGGTATCCAAAATCTAAAAATTTTGAATTAATTACCTATGCTAATGCTAATTTTACTATATGTAGAATAGATTTAAAAAACATATATGGAACATGTCAACTCTTAGTTCATACACTTGGTTCTTAGTCCTTTAAGAAATAAAATTATGTTGCATTATATATACAACTGAGGCTGAATAAAATATATAGTAGCAAGTGCATATTATGCAAATGTTATTTGGATGAAAAACACTTTATAAGACTATGGACTTTACATTGAAAAACATTCAGATAAAATATAATAAAGAATCTCATTTAACATTCTAGAACTAAACATATTGATATTAGATATCATTTTATTAAAGATTATATTAATAATCATGATATATCTTTATATTTTATTGACACAAAACATCAATTAGTAGATTTTTTATAAAACTATTGAATGATGAATAATTTAATTTTGTTAGAAGGGAATTAGGCATATTAAATTATCCAAATGCATGAATTCTTTTTATATATTTTTTGGATCATTATCTTGATTTTTTAGTTTTCATGACTTGAGTTTTCTTTTGAATCAGGATCATTTCCTTATGATTCCTTCTTTTTGCTATTTACAAAAGAGGAGATTTGTTAAAATAATTCATTGTCTTTCGGTATTCATAACTTGATCTTTTTTTTTATGCGATGATTAAAATATTTTTGCACTATCGAATCATTCCCCCCCCCCCCTTTTTTTTATAATGACAAATGGGAGAGAGAGAAGTGCTATCTTCTCCATCTCAAGAAGCAAAAAAGTGCTAGCTTGCATATCTCAAGAAGCAAAAATTACTTTCTTGGATATCTCAAGAGAAGCAAAAATTTTACTAACTTTCACATCTCAAAAACTTGCTAGCTTACATGCTCTAAAGTGAAGTAAAACTTATTAACTTACTAGCTTGCATATTTTAAATTTTTGCTAGTTGCACTTTTCTCCTTTTGTTGATAACAAAGGGGAAGAAGTTATAATGATTTAAAATTTTAATATTTTGAAATCATGTATATTAATTTAAAATTATGCCCAAAGTGATGACCATTTAAAATTATGTTTATAATGATGATGAATGCAATGATATAATATGATGTAAATAATAATTACTTTGATATTATGATGATACATAGGATGTATACAATATTATTTTAATTATGCATATGAAGTGTGAAACGATGATCTTTACAATGCAATGTTATTTTAACTATATATATCAAGTGTGAAATGATGATTTTTGTAAAGAAAATAATTAAAATTATTTTGACTTGAATTCTAAGGTTATCATTTTATGAATTCAAAGTTTTTTTTGATATGACATATAGATAGGGGGAGTTTAGTTAAAACTTCATCATCAATTAGTTATCATAAAAAAAAAGGGAAAGATTATTGAATCCCAAATTTTGATAATGAAATCAATTGATGAGTTTATAATCTAATTTGTATTTGAGAAAAATGATATAGGGCTATCTTCGATTATGAAAAGGAAAATTGATTGAAGAAGGAAAATTAGGCATTGGGTCGAAGTTAGAGATCGGGCATCAAGCCGAAAGAATCAGATTTTGCGCCAAGATTGGATGTTGCAAGAGTCAACATGCCGATGGATCGGACAATATGCCAAAGGGAAGCATGATGTACTGGGAGTTCGGATGAACTAATGACATGTTGGACAATATAAGATTTATGTCTTGTAGTCGATTATATCTTGATCATCGTAGTTCAAGTCTTAATTGAGTTAGTTTTGGGTATAACCATGCTAACTGAATTAGGGGCTTATTGAGCCTGATCTGGGGCTAATTTGGGCCTATTGGGAGGCCTATTTAGTGACCCATAGTTTGATCAGGCAGTAGCACTACTAGACCAAGTGGTGGAACCACCAATGAGCTGGAACATACGAAGTGTGCATTTTCTAGAAGACCCGACGATGGTACCACCAATGTTAGGTGGTGGTACCGTCTAGACTAGCGATAATACCGCTAGTATACGATCTTCTGGGGAGTCAAGCAATAGTACCACCCAGACAATGCGGTGATACCACTAGTGCTCAGTGCCGCAGGTGATGATACTGCCCAACATTGACGGTGGTACCACCAGTCCCCCGAAAACCTGAGGATGAGACTTTTTGGCTCTATTTTTAAAGTTATTTAGGGCATATAAATACCCTACTCATTCTTGCTTGAGAAAGCAAAAAAAAAGAATGAAAAGGCTTGTGATTCTAAGTTATAAACTTTTAAAAAGTGTTAAGTATTCCCCTCCTCATTTTTAAAGTTTAAAACTTATTTTAAAAGAGGTGTGAGACTCGTAAAGGTTCTCTCCTAAATTTGTGAAAAAGAAAGAGTTGTAACAAATGTGGTTGGTCTTCGCCTATTGAAAAAAGATCGTTAGTGAACGTTGGTGGTCTCAATGGAAGAGGAATCGGGAGTGGACGCAGATCACGACGATCGAACCACTATAAATTCTATGTGCATTTCCTTTATGTTCTTTATTGCTATTGTTTTCTGATTTAATTGCTTATTACACTCAAGCGTATTTTCGATATCGATGTTCATGGAATAAATTTTTAAAAATAAAATTTTATTAAAGTACTAATTCAACCTCCTCTCCCCTCCCCCCTCCCCCTTGTCTTGAAGCCTTTTAAGTGTGATTGTTAGCATATCACGGGGTAAAGTACAGTAGTAATTAGTCAAAATCATTTGAAGGTGAAGAGTGAAGCAACCAATCAAGTTTTGATAAGGTACTATTTTAAGGTAAATTAATCTTTGAATTCTTGTTTTTGTGGTGTAACCAAATCCTTCTAACACATGTCATCAATGATAGCAATGAAAAAAAAAAAAACAATTGTCCTCGAAGTCAACTCTCTTTTCTTATTGATTTAACTTATAAAATATATATTTAACCCATATGAAATTGGTGTGATATGATAATTATCAATTCAAACTAATTTTAAAAACTTTAATTTTTCTGACTTGATTTCGAAACCAACAACAAGATGAAATTTCATGTAGAAACAGATTCTTTATTATGTTAAGAAAATATTTATGTGTAAAATTAAAAAAAAATAAAAGAGGATAAAAAATAATCTTACATTGTTAAGGATTGAAATAGTTAAAAATTTTATATTGAATCTGACCCACAGCAAATTTGATATATTCAAGAAAACTCATTTGTTTATGTACTAATATTCTAAGCTAAAATGCAATGATAGCTTCTAATTTTAATATTTTTGAAATAGTCATTTTTATATTATTATAACCAATGGATTCATAAGAAAAGGACAAATAGGCTGCTCATAGGTTTAGTACCATAGGAAAATAAAAAAAGAAAAAAAAATGCAAGTGTAAGAAGAAGAATTGTTGGATTAACTTTGAATTATATTAAAACTGGTCAGTAAGTACATGCATTATATTATTATATTTGATAGTTCCAAGTCAATGGAAGTAATGATTGGTTTGGTGACAATATAATATGATGAAACTTAGCTACCGACATTACTGTGTTGTTGTGATCTTTGTTGGCATAAAGGATCTTAATTAAATCAATTGAGGAATTCATGATGGTGTTAGAAAACTAAGCTTTTTATAAGGATTTAGCTTACAAGAAGAAATCATTCTCATGGCAGCTTTGTTATCTTCAGGCAGAGGGAGAGAGAGAGAGAGGAATAAAGTAGGGAGACGAATGGGAGAAAAGAGAGGTTGTGACAAGGAGAGCAAGGGAAAGCGGGGGAGAAGAAAGGTGGCATCTTTACCTCCTTTTTCCGCTTCTTCTCTTGGGATCAGCTTCCTCTCCCGCTTCGTCTTCTCGATTTCCGCCTGCGTGTAGCTGTGCCTTCTCGATTTATCTCCTACCTCTGCTCCTCCGTCGAAGGGTGTCTTGTGGGTGAAGTAACTCCACTGCATCTGTTTGTTTATGCTCATCGTGTTCTTTCGATCGGTTCTTATCGACGAAATTTTGTCCAAGTTGGGATTTTGAGATCAAAGGGAAGGCTTTGCCGGATGATGATGACGAGTTATGTGGATGTTCTTCCTCGGAGCTCCCACTGCACGAACTGGTTCGTCGCCGAGGTAAGCTGCGGGAGCGGGTGGTGGACACAGGAGGAGAACAAGCGCTTCGAGGACGCGCTGGCCGAATTCGACGGCGACTCCCCGGACCGCTGGGAAAAGGTGGCGGCTTTGATCCCGGGGAAGTCGGTGGGAGACGTGGTGAGCCATTACCGGGAATTGGTGGACGATGTGACCGAGATAGAGGCCGGGCGGATCCCGTGCCCCGTCTACCATGGGGCTTCGCCTTTTACACTGGACTGGGAGAACAATTACGATTCGGAAGGTTGGAAGAACTCGTACTGTCTCAGCGGCGGCAAGCGATCTGGCCGCCGAGCTCCAGATCACGAGAGGAAGAAAGGAGTCCCGTGGACCGAAGAGGAGCACAAGTAGGCTCAGTGTCATCCTTCTTTGACACATGAACTTGGTCGCTTTGGCCTCATCGTATTCTCCATATATATACTTTGGTTTCAGCTCATAACTTGTTTGAGTTAATGTCTGTTAGATGAGGTTGTACATGAGAACTGTATGACCACCATCATGATTTCATGGTTCCTTTTCATCTGATACTATACTAATCCTGTAGGGTAGCTCACCTTGTTCTTGAGATTGCTAAAAGATATCTGTAGTAATGCAGATCTATGTAATTCTTTTCAGGTTATTTCTGCTTGGATTGCAAAAGTATGGGAAAGGAGATTGGAGAAACATATCGCGGAATTTGGTGATCACCAGGACCCCTACGCAAGTGGCGAGTCATGCGCAGAAGTACTTCCTCAGGCTTAATTCTGGCAGCAGAGACAAGAGAAGGTCCAGCATTCATGACGTTACTACAGATGATCTGCCAAATAGTAGGCCTCCCTCACCATCATCATCTCAGCCATGTACAATTGCCACACAGTCAAGCTCAGCTATGGCGTCTGCATCGTCGTGCCAGTTCTCTGAAACTGCTGTTTCAGATCAACAAAGTGAAGTAGCATGTGTCTTTGATCCATCATCTGATTCATCACATAGGAATCGATTCACCATTTGAACCGGCTCCATATGTGATGAAGTTTCTACCTCAAATTTCACATAATGGCATGTGTGATCAAGTTACGTTTGTTCACTTGGATTGAGATCAAAAGAAAAGTCTGGATCTGCTTGAATTCTGGCAAAGGTTGATGATGCAGATATTTAGTCTCTCCAACTGTCTATGGTAGAAGCTTAATTTTTCTTATCTGCACATAATGTCATTCTTTCTGTATGGAACTCAGGAGTGCAACTACAGCAAGGTTATATCCTGATGAAACTTCTTATTTATCATCAAAATGCTCCATGCTGAGATTGAATTCATAGCTATGATTGGTATTCGTATCCGATTCCGCACTTTGTTTCTGTGGGTTTTGCAGGGAGGAAGAATATTATACATTGTCGTGGCTCATTTTCAGGTAGAATTTTGTTGTGTTTGGCTTGTCGTCCAGTGAATGTCTCAAACTGTACCTTCCTATTGTTACCAGAGTAGTGAAAAAGATGTGCATGTTTCTTTGTAAGCTGAGTTGTAGTGCTACTCTGCAATGGTCATGACACATTGCCCAGCTGTGATTTGAGATTTCTGGACTCTTCTCATCTGCCTCCTCTTTAACAAAGAAGATGACTGCTGCTGCACTTTATTCCTGCATTTTTGAATTGTTGATCTTCTTTTGACTTAGCTTGTTCACTTTCAGAGTACTCCCAATTCCATTCTTTTAGTATGCTCCGACTGAAGGCATTTAGAGTGTTGCATTAACATCAATTGAACTATGCAAGTGACAGGGAAAATTGAGTTCCTCCTTTGATGAACCGTGTCAATGCATCTGAGGTGTGATATCTGTCATGGTTCGATGTTGGTGATCCCCTTCACGTGAGCCGACCAGCCCGACAGAAGCTCTGATTCTGCCCATACCCCTAATCGCAGCGGTGGTGTTGAGCCCGAGCACACATATCTATCTATCTATATATATATATATATATATATATATATATATATATATATA